CTTCCAGTTACAAACCGCGATCTACATATTCAAGAATTGTATTGGGTTAAAGGTGCCACGCTCACGTTTTCGACCTGTTAAGTCCTCGCCGGATGTTTTACTGGTGCAGTCCAATCTGTACCAAGTTAATCATGGTAGTTTGATCCTAAAACTCGACGCAAACCACGCCTACAATTCAGATTGTAAAGCTTGGACAAGAGTTCCAAAGCGCCAAGGATTATCTTGCACGCTTGGAGTATAGCATTCACGACATTACGGATCTAGACCACCTCACGGTCGGTGGCGACGTCAAGTTCGGCTCTAATATTACTTTAAGGTAAGGAGCAAATGTTAGCTGCAAATTCATCTCACATGACTGACTCGGTGCGCCTTGTATTGTAAACAGGGAACGGTAATGCTTGTTGCCATTGAAGAAGTTCATATTGATCTTCCTGACGGGAATGTGTTAGAGAACAGGCAACCTGCGTATCTTGATCGCTAGTCGTAGTTTAGAGTAACGAACTAGACTTTGTTACTTTATTCAATTGAAGCCATGGAGATTTCAAAAAATACATGCATATATGCAGTGTGGTCTTACAATCTACAACGACATACACACTTAGAGCAAAAGCTCTCAAAACACCGACTTGATGTGGCGTGGTCGAGTGCTTAGTAAATGGCAACGACATGCTTGCAGATCGGGCACTGGCGGTGGCACATGAGCCGTTGGCCGATGCATTCTCGGAGATAAAAGTGCAAACACGGTAAAGCGCGCACTTCTTCTCCCGTTTCAAACTCATCATAGCATACTGCACACCTCACTGTCATTTTCTGATTTGTTTTTGCCATCAAATTCATCAAGAATCTGGAAGTTGAACGTGGAAAGTGCAATAATTTGCAGGTACGGACGCCATCCCAGCTCTCATTCGGTATCACTCACCATCAACAGAAAAACTTTGTACGAAGCGGCAGTGCACAAAGCATGCTCAACAATAGAAAGATTAGGATACATACATTGTCTTGCTACAAGGGAAGTGCGTTAATGCGACGGAGCAATGATAAGAAGCGCAGCGTGTTTCGATCCTCATCTGCGTCATTGCCAATCTCAGGTGTTCCAGCGAAGATGAAGTAGATCAGCATTCGTAAATGGCGAAAACTAACGAGAAGGGCTTGCTCCTATTTTCCACAGTTTCAGCATCTGTCATCGATTCATTAAAATTTATCCACACGATGCAGGTACAGACCCAAGCAATTGAGTCATTGCTGCGTTACCACACTACAAAGCCGTGCCCACCATACATTTTAGTCGGTGTACAAATATCGCTACAAACCACCGATAAAATCAGTTCGCCGTACTGTGACGGGTTGCAAACGTTCTCTTCTGTCTTGAACACATTATACGCTTTACGTAGCGAGCAAATGAATGTAACGGGTTACACAAAGGTGCGTATTGTACATACATACCTGCCATACCATTGTGGTGTGGCTGTACCTTGGGTACAGTGGTAGACCTCGCATCTACCATGGGTCCTCGCCGAACATGCTTTTGATGGTGGACCTCACATAGACCATGGGTCCTCGTAGAACATTCTTTTGAGGGTGGAACTCGATGTCTGAAGCGTCATTTGGCTGTCTTTTGACGGTATTTTCGAGGCGGTCACAAAAAGTAAGTCAAACAATACCGAGTTTATCACAACAAGGATCTCCAAAAGCTTTTAAGGGTCTCTAACGTGATCTTGATACTGTCAAACCCCGGAAAAACAAGTCTTCTGGATCAAACCTACCCGAGACCATGCCTGCTTCTCGAAGTAGGGTGACTAGCGTGGTGATCGCTTCTTTTACCGTCCGCAGCTTGGGAAGGCTCAACACAGGGCCTTGATGTTAGTCCTTCGACCTGGTCGGACGCTATCGTTATTATGAATTACCAGCGACTCAATCTTGATGCATTTCTTGAGAGCGAACCCATCAAGAAGACCCTCGAGACTCGATTGCTGGGTCAGCTCAGTAGACTTGTGTCGACCCTTCCCAAGCTGCGGATGTTAACAGACGCGACCACCGCGCTATTGGTCCTTCCTTCGAAAGGCAGGCATGAGTCGCGGGTAGGTTTGAGCCAGAAGACTTGTTTTTCTGGGGTTTGACAGTATGAAGACCACGCTAGAGATCCAAAAAACTTTGGGGATTTTGTTGAAATAAACCGGTATTGTTTGACTTATCTCCTGTGACCGCCTTGAAAACGCCGTCAAAAGGCATCCAAATGACGCTACAGACATCGAATTCCACCCTTAAAAGAATGTTCAACGAGGACCCATGGTCGATGCAAGGGTAACCACAGACCACCTTGCCTCAAGGTCCCTCGATCCCTTCAGGACAGTCGTCTGCTGCTAGCCACTTGACAGGATGCCACTAGAACCGACTGGCATGCTACTGCTTCGAGCTCAAGAGAAAGACGCGGAATACGAGCAGCGAGCTTGCGAAACGGCAATGCGTATACAGCCAATGAAAAGTCAGTCTTCTGATAGGTTAGATTTTCAACCAATCAAAAAATGAGCCAGGACTAGTACCGAATTTTTCTCCGTCACGTGACAAAGCTGCTCGGG